GTTTACAGAGATGGAGCCTCAGTGCTTAGCCTGGAGCTTGACACATAGAACATGCTCAGAAAATAAGAACAGTTAATGAAAGAGTGATGAATAAATAATGGAATCTAGGGTATTATTATTAGTCTGTCTTTGTTGCCACATGTTCTCCTTTCTCTTGTAGACAGATATTAGGTGTGTTGTCAGTTGTGTGGATCGTTGTCAGGTCAACCTCTACGCCCTTGAAGAGTGTCCTTTCTACCCAGATTGAGACTTGCCTGCAAGGAAGACCTATGGAACCACAGATCCCTGACTGCTAAGGGATGGGAAAGGCCCACACCTGTCTGAAGGGATCTTTCCCTCTTCCAGAGGCCTGTTTGGCCAGGCCTCAGCATCTTCACCTTGTACCTGCCGCTCCACATCCAGTCTTTACCTGTAAGTTCTATGAGTCTTTCTGTGTAAAGTATTATATGGCATAGGAAAGCAAGATTTTTTTTGATAAGGCGGAATCAAAACAGCCTTGTCAAAAAAAAAAAATCTTAAAAAAAAATTACCAAGAAGTGTATACAACAAATGTCTCTGACCTACCATTCCTTGGTGTCAACTCATTTCTTGCTGCTGCTATTATGCCTTCCCTACTGTGTGTGGCTTGGCTGTGTCCCCAAACATTTGGTCACATCATATGTGTCTTCCAACTAATTAAATTTGGTTGCAGTTGTCCAGGTATATTGTCTGTCAAGATCTCAAAGTCACCATAGTGCTCAGTGAGAAAATTTTTAACAAAAGAATTTTTACATTTTGATGTGTCTCCTAAGGCTGGGGGATGGGTTAAGGAGTAAGGGAGGTCTACCGTGTACATAGCTCAGTTGTAATGAAGCCTAAAGATTAATGGTTAGTTTTCTTGTCATGTCAAAATGTCAACATGCTCAGCATAGGTGAATTTGTGGAGACATTTCTCTCCTTTTCTCATATATTTCAAAAGCCCTATATTAGATAAACAATAAATGTTGAAATGTGGATTCCAACTGAAAATGCTTGTGTGTGTGTGTGTGTGTGTGTGAAAGAGAGAGAGAGAGAGATTCTGAATGTATAAGCAGAATCTAAATACTATGAGCAGGGACTGCTTCCCAAATCAGTTTGGGGGGTTCTTCTATTTGCCACCTGCATTTAAAACAAATTAAAAATTAAAATGACCGATGACAACAGTAATAGAGTCTAGAGTTGAGACAAAACATTCTCCATGAGTAATTCAACTGTGCTTCATGGGGCTGCAACTCCAAAGACAGGACAGTCCCCTCCGTGGTCTCCAGATAAAGTTCAATTCTTCTGTACTGCCTAGGGTATTGGAGCAAGTCACGTCTCTCCCCACTCCTCTCCTTTTATATTTATTTTCTTAAAGGGGTTTAAATTAGTATTAAACATTTCATTTTAAAAAGGAACCTCTTTTTGTCCCCTGAACTATCTTCAATGGGGATATGGCCAAGTATCTGGAAGAGAAATCAAGCATTGTAGTGGTCTTCTAATATTTCCAGGGGTCTGAAAGCAGAGAGAATTTTGGAATTGCTTTTTCTCCCCAGTGCTACTTTTTAACATGAATCTGTATTGGGTTGAATTTCCAAAACTGAGTGGAGAATGATCGATCATTTTGGTGCAGCTTTCCAAATCATAATGGTGTTTCTCTGAGCAAGGACAATAAAGCTGTAGACATGTTTTTTAGCATGGGTGCCTCCACCTCTGGTTGAGACATTTAGTTTTGGAGCTACTGTCTAAGGAAATCGGTTTTCAAGTTAAGAGGGTTGATGGTAATATTTCAGATATCTCTTCAGCTTCATGCACTTCCCTCAGTCCCTCCTTGCTTTTCCTGATGGAACATGTCCCTCTGTCCAGTGACTTTATGTAATTGTAAGATAACAGCTAAGGGTAGCTCAAAAAATGAGAGAAACAAAGGAATCCTTTAAAAATACCATCATTTTAGTGGCAGCCTTACCCAGGATGAGTAAAAATGTCTGCAGGGCAATTCAAAAGAAATTTTATTTTATTTATTTCTCTCTCTTAGTAGAAGAACTAGAGGGTTGGCCCCAGGCTGTTTTATGGTATTACTATTTGGTCCCTGTGGTTTTAGTATGCAGTGAGAATGGGAAGTAACGAGCTCATGTTATGTTTGTAAATGTTGCACGTGATCTTGTTTTATCCTCTAAAGTTCAGAAGGCTTGACATCAGACGTCCCTGATTTTTTTGTGTATGGAGGAGTTACTGTTCTTAAAATTGTCTTGAGATCATTGAGGGTTGAGGGGGAAGTGACCTGCTATGGCAGTCAAGTCCCTGAGTGAGAGATGATGTGTTCCTGCCGGCTGCCTTCTCTGGTCTATGGGGTTCAAGAAGGGGTAGAGGAGAGGACATAGAGAGGATAAATGGCTTGGAGACCAATTGGTTGGCCCCCCTGTATTATATGAATACCAAGCATACCCTTTGTTAGGTTTACATAACTTTTTCGGTACAAGGAGGCTAAAAGAGTTGACTTTTCTATAGTGCTCAGTTCCACTTTTAGATCATCAACTTTAGTGTCCTGCCCTGAAGAACTTACCCACAGAATTCTAATGCTGTTACCAGCAACCAGTTGGAGGGAAAGAAAAAGTGGCATGCAGGAATTAGAAAATGATTTGCACTTCCTTATAGCTAGAAATATCCAGCTCCTTCTCTAATCAGATTTTCAAAACAGCTCCATTTCCATACGAATTACTTATTGGCTATAAAGGTTACCAGGAATTGGTGAGCATTAGAAACTGCAAACCAATTAGAATGTGGCAATAGCATTGCTCAGAATTAAATGTTGATTCAAATTGGCTTTGGTAATAAGATGCTCTTTAATGAAACCATCATCGAATGGATTAGTAGATGCTTTCCTGGTTTTTGACAAAGACACAAAATGAGTGGGGATGGAATCTGGGCATAGAGACAGTGACTGGTCACTCTTTTTTTTTTTTTTTAGAAGCTTAGCCCTGCGCTAACTACTGCCAATCCTCCTCTTTTTGCTGAGGAAGACTGGCCCTGACTAACATCCATGCCCATCTTCCTCTACTTTATATGTGGGACGCCTACCACAGCATGGCTTTTGCCAAGTGGTGCCATGTCCGCACCCAGGATCTGAACTGGCGAATCCTGGGCCGCAGAGAAGCAGAATGTGCGAACTTAACCATTGCGCCACGGGGCCAGCCCCATGGTCACACTTTCAAGCCTTTGTGCCAATAAATCTTCCCAGAGAGCCTCCTTTGCCTGCTATTTGGATGAATGGCCTTCGAAAGCTTAATGGGAATTGATGCCATCTATTGATTACCATTTAAAGCACACCTTCCTAATTTCTAATCGTTGTTTAAGGAAAAATGTTTTCCAGTGGAACAAGTATCTCTTATCAGAGAGTTCAAGTCTGGTGTCTTGATAACCTAAGCAACTTGATGCCTATTGGGATGGTGAACATAAGCCCTGTTGAGGTGATACCAAACCAGATTTTCATGGAGCTGATTATTTGCCGACTACTCAACAGATGGAAATCCCAGGTTTCCTAACCTGAAATGTGTGAGTGATTTCATGGGGGCAGGGGACTATTCCCAGATAAACTTCTGGGACTGCCATAGTAGTGAGGGTCAAGGCCAGGTTAGCTGCAGAGGGACTTCATATTATTTTAATGCTTCCAATACTGGGCCCCTCTCCCTGGTTGGGGATTATGACCTGCTTGATAAACAGCGGTAGGGGTAAGACAGGGATATCCTGAGCCAATAAGAATTCTTGGAAGGGTCTGAGAACTTATCTTTTCTCTTTCAGGGAATGAAAACAATTTTTAACTAATTGCTATAATTTCAAGAAACATACTTCGCCTGGTTTCCCATGAAACAGTTGGACAAATCTCATGATAATACATGAAGAAATATGTTTCTTACTGATTTCTTAAAACGGGCTGGTTTAGAACTAACATTTATTTACTCTGGACCTTTGAGGAAAAGTCAGCAGTTATACCTGCCATTCAAAAACTTGATTACCAGTGGGAGAGAGCGACTAAATTTTTCATCTCTACCTACTACACAAGTGGCTTCCGGATCATTGCTAAAACCAGTTACAGTGGTTATAGTAGCAGGCAGTGGTAGCGTATAGAACAGGTCCATTTTCTAATGGAAACCACCATGTTTTCTTGGTTGGGGCAACTGAAAAAACATTTGAGTTCTTAAATACTCTATTGATAGCCTTTCTTATAGTCCAGTTGCTACAGAACAAAGATCTTGATAGTTTATGTTAAAGTGGTTTGGCCCTCATATTATCCTTTTATAATTTTCTGCTTTGACCTCCTTTCATCTTTCCCCTTGACAGTGTTGATACTTTGCTAACTTTTGTTAGTGAACTACTTGCTCTTTCCTTACTAAGATTTGGTCTATCGGGGGATGGAGGGGAGGGAATAAGTCTACTCAAGAAATTAAAGCAATTATCAGCTTCCCTGGAAATTGAATTATCAGCATGTACATGAATACTTGAAACAACTGTAATACATTTCAATAGGAAACTAACGTCTAAAATAGAATATGTAATTTTATAGTCCATCACTCCTCAGAGTCTTAGTCAGAGTCAATTACCTAACTTCTGTGAACTGCTGAGACATAAAATCACTGCTTTTGTAAAAGCTAGAAAGGAGAAAAGATATTATTTAGTTCAATCCCCTCATTATTCAAGTAAGGGGACCGACACCAAAAGAAGTGAAATGACTTGCCCAAGGACAAACAATCACTTTGTGGCAGGGTTGGAATTCAAAGCTGGGAGTTCAAACTTGTGTTCTCGACATACCACTTGTTATGTCGCACATTGAGTCAGTTCTAAAGGAAAATGAATTAGGTCACAAACCAAGTAGAGCTGTATTTATGTTACTCTACTTTGATAACATTCCCATCCTTTCCCAACCCTCCCTTAAAATTACTGTGAATTTGCCTTTGTGAGATGATAAAATAAAAACCAGAAGGCCCAATTAACTGTGAGGCACTTACTCTGAAAAACTCTTTTGTCGAGCCCGAGTCCAGGGTCCCATATGCAATTTCAGTCTGCTTAGCTAAGTCTTCAGCGCTCTCTATGGGAGAAACCATCCTCTCCACAGTCAGGAAAGCAGCAAGATTGGCAGTATAGGAAGAAATTATGATCAGGGTGAAGAACCACCAAACCCCTCCAACAATGCGCCCGGAGAGTGATCTACAAAACAAAACAAAGACCAATCCAGACCCAGAGGGGCCAGGTTTCAGTTCAAGAAATCCTTATCTTTATTTCTGGAAAGAGGAGTGGTTTCAGTGTAGCTGATGAAGAAGAAAAGTAAACATAAGGGAATTAACACATCAAACAAAAGTAACACATTAACAACAATACCCCATGTCATGATGGCATATGATGATGGTACATGCATAATGCTCTTCAGGCCTATACAGGTTTGAAAGCAAGATCTTTTTTTAATTCAGGAAAAAATATCTTTTTTTTTTTTTTTACCAGCTCCTGCTTACACATAATAATTGTAATTATCAGATTCTCCTCCTATGAGCTTTGCTGGGAACACTGGTGGAAGCCTGCTCTATTTCCTTTAAGGCAAGTGGTTCTCAGCCTTGCCTGTACGTTAGAATCACCAGGGATCATTAAAAAAAATTCTCATGCTCAGGCCCACCCAAGATCAATTAAATCAGAACCTGGGAGGTGGGACCCAGACACATATATTTTCTAAAGCTCGCCAAGTGATTACTATGCACAGCCAAGGTTGAGAACTGCTGATATAAGGTGATGCCATGGGAGAAACACAGAGTCAAAAACCTTTACATATTTGAAGAGAAATGGGTAGGTGCCAATAAATGAGCACTATTTACTGTGAGTTTAATAAATTTAATAAAGACATTGCCATTTTGTGGAGTTGGTCACCAATGAGGCAAGGAGCCATAAAATAATATTTATTATCATCTTCATGTAAGTAACTAGTGGGGCTCAGGAGCTTAGCTCCAGAGATGGAAGCACTTCTCTTTTGCAAAATGAGCCTCAGCACACAGGACAGGCCTCAAATGAAGTAGGAAACTACCTGTGTAATAGGATTTGAGAGGCAGTAAAAGGTTTGTTTCCTCTATGCGCCCCCCACCCCGTCAATAACCAAAAAACCTCAAAGCATCCTCATTGCCCTGCCATAGAAATTCTTACTATTGGAATCATCCTCTGCATTTTCTTCAGGCTTGGTCAAAGTCTAAGACTTTACTTCAACAGCACCCATTATCACATTATCCTGGATTAGTCTATCCAATTAGTACAGAATGGGACAGAGGATGGGTAAGTTTTAATATGGGGAAACTTTTGTTCCTAAACTAACTGTGCAATACCTGGAATCTTCGTTAAAATGCAGATTCAGAATATCTGAGTGCTCAAGAATCTGCACTTCTTAAGCATTACGGGTGATTACAGTGGTCTGTAGACCAAACTTAGAAAAACTGTTCTTCTACATCAGTGATTCTCAACTCTGCCTGCACATTGATATCATCTGGGGAACTTGACACAAAACAACAAAAACACATGTCTAGGCTCCACCCTAGACCAATTCAATCAGAACCTCTGGGAGTTGGGCCTAAGCAGCATTTTTTTTCCTTTTTGCTGAGGAAGATTAGCCCTCAGCTAACATATGTGCCAATCTTCCTCTATTTTGTATGTGGGTCACTACCTCAGCATGGTTGACAAGCGGTGTAGGTGTGTGCCCAGGATCCAAACCCATAAACTGGGCTGCCAAAGTGGAGTGTAGATCTTAGACACTATGCCACGGGGCTGGCCCCAGCAGCAGCATTTTTGTAAAGCTCTGGTGCAGCCATGATTGTGAGTCATGGTCCGACATCATGAGTGCTACCCAGGGAGAGGGCCTATGGGAAGTTAGGGGGCAAAGTGAGGGCATTGAATGCTCAGTGATGGGTAATGGCTTGTATTGAGGAAACTTCATCACTTTCACAATGCTGCTGAAGGCTGGCTGCAGAAATGAAAATCTGGTCCCTAGATTTTATAAAACATTGTCACGTGATCCCTAGGATGGTTCTGCTCTGTGGCAGATCCCTATCCTGGCTAGGTTATGTTCTTTCATGCCCAGAGAAGGTCCCAGGAAAGAACCCACTCTGTCATAAAGTCAAGAATACATGTGGGAGCCTGGCACATCTCCAGGCTCTGTGGGAAGAGGGCAGTTCTGGGCTGAAAACTGGCAAATCAAGTTCTTCTCTGTCTATACTCACATTTTACCACTTTAAAGTAAGTTTAAATTCCTGTGTCCCAAGATAACCATTTTTGAGCCTCTGGAAAATTCAGTTGTTTTAGATTTTACGCTTTGACCAAATAATTTTGACAGGTGTTTTGATAAATACTGTTCTTTATTGATTAACTATAATAAAAGTACTTGATTTTTTAAAAGTCTGTAATTCCTGTTGGTCCTGGATACTTAAAACTATTCTTATTTATTTATTTCTGAACATAATTACTTTTAGCTTTTTGGCTGTGAAAACCTGCTTTGCAACAGAATTTTTCTAACTGATAGTTATACTCTCTCAGGATTTTATCTGGGAACATGTCTCTTTTAATCAGAAGAGGTGAAAACATCTGGATGAGTCAGAGGGAATGTCACACTCCTGAACGCTAAAAGTGTACAGAATATTTCAATTATGAATTTGGACCTTTCATTGTCTTTCTTCATTGTTGCCATATACATTTAATTTTTTCTGGGCTGATCTGACTCTGGAAATAATCTTACTGTCTAAAAGATAAATGCTCCAAAGTAGTATCCGTAGTAATAGGGTGATAAAAATGATAACATAATAGCTAACTCTTAGTGAGCACCTCCTATGTGCCAGACTCTATTCTAATAGCTTTATACGTATCGACTCTTTTAATTCTCTATCCCTATGGTTAGGTACTATTCTACAGATAAGAAAATGGAGGAATTCCACAGATAAAGAAACCGAGTCGCAGAGAGGAGAAATAGGAAATAAATCATCTATACTTACACAACAGGAAAGAAATGCCCACTTTTTTGTATAGAATACTCATATTTTGTATAAGAAAACCTAGAATTGTGTGTAAATTATAGAAGGTGCGATTTTCCTATAAACACTGAGAAATATAGTTGCAGGAAAACCAAACATGTTTGGAAAATTATTGTTTGTTATCTGTTGTTCATTTGGAATGGAGTAGTGAATGTCATCCTTATTTGGAATGATGGAGTTTTACTGAGACCAAGGGGAAAACTGATTTTGCAGTATTTCCAGAATCATTGTTTGGTATGGAAAGGGGTGCATTCTGCTGCTGTGAATACTAATAGTAGTTAATGTATTGTCTACTTGAAATGCGGAGAAAATACAGTAATTTATGGAAATTGCACTTCTGTCATTATATTGAGACTAATGGACTGTTACTGTGTCTGTATGATCTAAAATCAAGCCATAATCTGGTTATTTTGGCCACTTTAATAACTGACTCAGATAATCATATTGTTGATCTGTATGATTCAGCTGAGACTGGCTGTTGACATGACTGAAAATAAACTTATATGCAAAATGGTCATTTTCTCGACCTCTTGTCTACATGGCTGTTGGCTTTGGCAATTACGTGGTTAATATTGTGACATGCCTGTGCATGGAGAATTTTGGTGACTATCCACATAGAAATGGTATAATAGTATCTACAAGCCTCAGCATAGATGGAACAAGGAGCTTCCTTGGAATCAGTGTTGAATGCAGAAGCTTGCATTGAATATTCTCTCCTCAAGACAGTAGTAGCTTTGACAAAAGTCTTGGTGGAATTTCTACCACTTTCTTCCCTTGTATGGCATAGATGTCTAAATCCTTTCACTGAGAAAATGTGTAGTGGAACTCATCGAGAAGAAACTCTATAAGATTTTTTACATTTCCTTTTTCTCATTAGTGAATCTATAGCCATTTAAGCCCACATTTCACATGGAGGCTATATAAAAAGTGACTGATGGGTCAGCCCAATCACATTTTTTAAAGGATCTATTAAAACAAGACAAGACTTTATAGTTGAGTTAAAAAGACCTGTCATTTTCCAGTATCTTTCCCTCCGGTAATGCAGTTTCAAAATGTTTAACATTCATTTCAAATAGTTTTGTTGCACAAGACAGATTCTGAGGTTGGCATAATGAAATGGCTGTAAAATGCTGCACATTTAGTATTTATAAAAATGCATTATAAGGAGCATATCCTACCTTTTGAAGAAATGTAAGAGGAGGAGTGAAGTTAATGAAAGTAAATTAGCAACAAGAGAAAAACAGACATAAAAACATTGCAAAATAATGAACAGTACTCTTGTTATCTGTAATCACTCAGAAACTAGAGTTTCTGAGTTAATAATAAAATGTATTTTATGACCTCTGAAATGATAATCAAAGGGAGCTATGCGCTGTAACCTTCATCCTGTAAGTAAATTTTGAAATCTGCACTTTACTAGCTTCACAAGATGAAGAGCTGGAACTGCAAACTGCTACTCCTTCGCACAAACTCTTTATCATTCCTTTTTTTCCCTTCTTTCTTCCAAAGTATGCACCATTTCTACACTCCATTCAATGCTGTGTCTCTGACAGATATTTTTTTTAATGTACAGAATCAATCTTTGGCTCTTGCAGTCTTCTCTGATGGGAATAAGTAACCATCTCCCAAAGACTGAAAACTACGGCTTTCAGCCAGAAAAGTCATGAAATATTTGTAATAAAAATCCTGCTATTACATCATTAATTTATTACCACAACACTACAGCTTTGAAGTGAATTTGCAGTAGGATGAAGACACTGGTCATACATCAGCAAAGGAAAGGATATTGCTTAAAATGGAGTCCCAAATCCCTGTTGTCTTTGATCCCATTCATTTTATACCCTTCGTATCTTTTAGTCTGTTCATGCTTTCCATTTTAGAGGTGGATCTATGAGTCAACTAACGTGGACAGATCCCCTGCACTCTCCTCCAAGGTATTTGGTATCTTGAAAACTTAGGAGGAGAATAATTCCCTTGGAATAATCTGTACACAGTAATCAGGTTCAAGTTAGTGTGTTCTCTCCATTTTCTCTGTTATAATCCCCCCGACTCTTGTGTCTTCAACTTGACTAGCCCTCAGACGTCCCTGCAGCTTCAAAGAAAGTCAGCAGGGGGAGCGTTTGTCTGGAAGGACTCAGACTCCGGGCTGCTTTA